AACTTTTTAAACAAAAAATAGCTTTAATTGGGATGGCCACGTGACAGCGGCTGATCTAATCTTCAAGGAATAGGAAACACTTCCTGTTTTGCTTCTTATCTAAATTTGCAGCTTCCAAGCCCCAACGTCAAGAAGGAAATCGGAATGTATCAAGATGAAGGACATGATGGAAGGTCCTGGCTACGTATAAGCTGATATCCATAAGCGGAATGAAATAGTCGGGACTCACACGCACACAAGCGACCAACTTCGAGGCGCGATAAGCCATGCAAGATTCGGCAGGAATCGCATCGAGGACGAACTTTGCTGCCCCGTGTCGTACACTTGAGTGACTAGGCCAAATAATTTGGGGGATTTTGAATGACATGCAGGAAAAAGATTGTCATTTTAATTAATTCACAGGAAGATGTTAAAGTGAGACGGGGGAAACCATGATGAGGTTGTTTTTTTTTTTTTTTTTTTTGCTTCAACCCGTGTTGGCCCTCTCATCCTTCCATTTTTTTTTTGTTATGCCGCCCTCAAACGAAAAAGTTTGGACACCCCTGTGTTAGCTAGTGTACCAGTGTAATCTTTATGGCTGGTGAGTGACCTTGCAGAGGCATTATCCGCCCAACACTTGAGTTGTTTATACATTCGATTTTATGACTGTTTATTCACGCTCTGCCATTGCCAGCAGACTTAAATGAGTCTTCATCTTTCCTTCTGTCAGGTTTGACATTTTAGTGGTTTCACAGACATTTACTTAAGAGTTCCTTCGGCGTGCCTTCGACACAGAAGGTTTGCTATTCTTACCCTGGAAGATATTTCTTTGAAAACACAACTCTCTGCTATTTGTGCTCTCAAAGGTGTTTTGTTTTCTGGTCGACACCTCCTCTTTTTCCAAGTCCAAACTAAACATCCAAGTGTGAATGACTGCTTTTCATTCGACTAGAAATCATGCACGTGCCACCTAAATAAGAAATGTCCTACCAGAAAAACGACAACAAAAATAAAAAAAAAAGCCAACAATCAATGTAATACGTCGCCTCTAGTACGCTTCAATCATCGATGGCCACCAAATTTGCTTTCCTGAAGGCTCACGCAATAAGAATTGATCTCACAGGGGCGACGCGAGCCTTTGGATAAAGGCAGCTGATGTCATTAAGTAGGAGGCCAAGTCATTAAATTGGGTCTGTCACGTCCGCTCGGCTCCTCGCTGAGCCATTGAGTAAACGGCTTTAAATGATGCCCTCAAAGCGCGGGCGATCGATATTCTGAGTAATAACGGTGCATCACGTTACGCTGCGCCTTGCGTAATTCCCTCTTACGGATGACCCGACTGCATTCCCTCAATTCTCAGGAGCTTTTTAGGGTCTTTCAGCTAAGAGGTTTGGTTTACCAACATCAATTGAGTTTTCCAGCCTAGAAGCAAACAACAGACGGTTATGGATTGTGACCCAAAAAAAAAAAAACTGCCGATATTGTATGTCAACTGACAGCTAAAGTGTTCCTCCAGAATAACTGTTAGGCAACAAACGAGAGTTATACAGATCGCCTGAAATTCTTACTGATTGCATTTTGGAAATGCTAGTTTTGTTATTACAGAAGTACGCATTTGTGCTATGATATCATTTGGAATGCAAAATATGGCTATTAACAACAGTAATGGGTTTTTGGGGGGGATTTTTTTTGCATCGGAAAACTCCCCAAAAAGAATACTGTACTCTAAATGTAAAACTGAGCAGTCACTATCATAACATCAGAAAGGAACGTCTCACCTTTGGACAAAAAAATAAAGAAAATTTTAAATACCTACAGGAGATGTAGTTTGTCATCAAAGCGTTTGGCACGGTTGAAACACGGAATGTGGTAGGAAGCACTCTACCTTTAAAAAAAAAAAAAAAATCCCACCCTTTTAATTTCAGCTGCCAAAAAGCTTGCTGTTATTTCTGTAAATAGGAATCAGCGCGCGCCTGCCACCATTTAATGGCCTCTGATTAACCCCAAACAAAGACGTTGCGGTTGCCCTTTCATGACATGTTTTGGCTTCAAAGCCAAAGCCTGAAGGTACATGTTGTTGCATGTCCTAAACAGCCAGCGCTTCCTTGAAGGTCCTTCACTGTTGCTGTCGGCATCGTCGGTCTCTTGACAGCCTCCCTGACTACTTTTCTTCTCACATTTTCAACTTTTTTTTTTTTAGGTTAATGTGTCATATTACCTCTACTTCAGGGTGACTGTTTTCTCTTTGTTCAAAAGTAGATTTAATGCCTTGGACTTTTGTTTGTTGCTTTTCCCTGTCCGATACCTTTGAATAATAAGATCTAAGCTCTTTGCAGATCATGGCTTGTGCTGTAAAATGTGACTATTAAAAAAAAAAAAAAAAAAAAAAAAAAAAAAAAAAAACAAACACACACACA